CGTCGGCGGATTTTTTGTTAATAACCATTATTTAACTTTAGAAACATTATAAACAGTATTACGTTTTTCGGGTATTCGTTTGTAGTCTTCTTTTCATGTAAAATTAATGATTGACGGTTGTTCCAAAGACTAATTACGTTGCTGATTTTGCACTTAAAAAATTTAATACCATGCATTTCACTATGTTTTTGAATAATGGGATAAGGACATTTATCTTCGGAAAGCACAAAATCATATTCTTCAATCCACAGCTTGCTTACATGCGACATTTTGAAAGAAGAATAAATTTAAAAGTACTAGACAGTATTTCTCATTTTAAATAATAAGCTGTTGTCGGAAATTTTTATTCCAAAAAAAATTTTTTTTTTAAAATTCCTTATCCAAATCGTTCGAAAAGTGTGTAAGCACCCTCTGTGTGACTAGGGTTTATACAAAAACCGACGTTTTTGAAAAAACGGTTTTCGAATTCAATATTTCCGAGGAAAAAAAGCGGTTGACAAAAAATAGAATAGAGGAAAATATTTTATTTAAATTATATAAAACAACAAAAAAACGAAATCAGTATCAAAGCCAAAATATTAAAAAAACTTAAGGATTACATTTATATATAATAGCTACACAAAATAACGAAATAAATTTCAAAGTCAAAATATAAAAAAAATAAGGGTTGCATATGCCTATTACTTACACAAAATAATGAAAAACTCAAACAAAAATTTCGAATAACACTTAGTATATTATTTTCAGTAATTTTAATTTCTCCTAAGAAAATGGGATTTTAAAAAACATGAAATATTCCATGAACGGTGGCTAAGACTTGTTCTTAGTTTGGATACAATATTGCTTGAAATTGAAAATACTCTTTCGCTAGCTATTGAGCTTAATTACATAATTTTCAGGGAAACAACTAACAAATCTTTGTTCTTTTATTCGTTGCCTCAAATAATGAAAATTCAGCATTTCTTTGGTGTCGTTGGATTTGTAAGTTTTTCTTCAGGGTCTCCAAGAAACTTATGAATTGATTTTTCCCATAGCTTCTTAAAAAAAAAAAAAAAAAAAAAAAAAAAAAAAAAGACTCTGATGAGTAGTTTCTTCGATTTGCTCTTCATCAGAATCGGTTTCCACATAAGAATTTGGAAATATTCTAGAAAATATCTTTCCAGAAAACTTAATTTCGGTTTTTGAAGCTAAAAAAAGTACACTAGATTTCTTCGCTGAACTAGAAATGTTTTATGGATTTTGCAAATACAGCAAAAGAGTTGCTAATTCTACTTGCCTTCTTTCTTCAATTCATTCTCTTCTAAAGTATGTAATAATTTCAAGCTTACTTCAGTGTTTAAATTTTTTAGTTCATTTAACAGATATTCAAATATACCTTCACTTGTTAGTAAATTGGCTTCTTAGTAAAAATGTGTTTTCTGCTAATTGCATAGAACAAATAGCAAATAAAATAAGTTTTAAATTAATTTTGACATAATAATATCAATTCTTTAAACCGGTTTCGAATGTGACAACTTTACTTTTAAAACCGGTTTTTTAAAACCCGGTTTGAAAACACGTCAAACCCTATGTGTGACGAAGCAATTGTTTGGGAAATATACTTTGCTTCTAAAAAAGCTCTCTCGCTTAAAAAACTGTTTACTGAACTAAACATCTGCTGCTGACTAAACACTTTCGATTTTCCTACCAATTTTACATCGAATGCTAATCCACAATTACAGACAGATGTTTCGAAACCTGTAAATAAGTGACAGTAAACCAGAGTCGATATCTGGGACACGTTACTATTTATTTTCTTTACTTTTCACGTCTTGCCGCGTTACTTAACTTTTCTCTGCTTGGAGGGCAGAAAAAAATGTGTCAGCCGTCCCAGATGATGCTAATTACGCTGTTAACTGCATTTATATACGTACCTACAGCTTGTTTTCCACATTAGGTAGAATGTTCAACTTTGCGGTGCATGGAGACTTAAGCGGAAATCTCTTTTTTAACCCCTTTTCCTACAATTTATATAGAATTGCAAACATTTCTTACGTAGGAATGAATATTTTCCGTTACGCTAGGATGAATATTCTCATCATTACACTTCAAGAAAGTAGCTTCATAAGCGAAAACGTATGCAGTGTATTAAAATGAATGAAAATACAGAAAATTAGATTTCATTAACTTTATTACAAACAAGTTTCGATCATTTTATTCAAGGACCCAGCTGCCTAGACGGTATAGTGGTTAGGGAAGTCTGACTGCGATACCGAAGGGCCTGGTTTCGAATCCTCGAAGAGCATGGTTGTAACTGTCCATCCATTCATAGGAGGCGATGGTGGCCCACCTATTAGGTGGCTCCATAATAAAGAGACCACCACATCTGGCCTTGTATAGATTAATGGACTGTGTTACACTGTAACTGTTCACAATCTGCTATTGGAAAAAAAAAAAAAAGAATTTCAAGGACCCATGTAAGACCCTAGAAAATTAGATTTCGTTCATCTTATAAGGTATTTTCTTATTAGGTATAAGGTATTAAGGTCGCGCTACAGAAAATTGTCAACTAAGTTGTACATTACTCTAAACTCCCTGCTTAAACTATTATCCCTGTTAACTAGATTCGAGGTGATGACAGAAGACTGGATTATTCTCATTTTTCGTTTTACTTTCTTGCTGTAAAAGTCGCATACACATATAAGGTATTTTTCAAGCTTCCTTAGCGTACCTTCGTGGTGTAGTGGTCTGCATGCTGGGCACGTAGTCCAGAGTCCGTGGATCGATTCCCGGTGAAGACGTTGCTCGTTTTTCAAGACTTCTGCTTCCAAAAAAAATACCTAATTCCCAAAAAATACTAAAGCTGAAACAAATCATCTTGCATAGTTTGCTGAAACCGTAAACAACGAAATTATTCCAGAAGATTACTTTTCCAAACCGTGCGCAGCACGTTTATTCAACATTAGATCTATATTACATAATTGTTTCTTCACATCGTCATCCCTTCTGCATAACGTTTTAATGTAGGAAAATTTTTTTCTCCATTTTAGCTGTATCATGCTGAGCTAGTTCGATCGCGGGAACGTTTCTACTGCATTTCTTAGTGCTTCGAGTGTTATTCTGTGCTTCACAAGTTATTATATGCTATTTTCATCATTTCGGATCTATTCATATGTGGATTACTTCGAATTTGTGTAACATTTTTCGTGTACTGTGACTAGTGTATTCTTTACCAACGATTAACGACTACGTGCAGTGGTGGGGAACGAAGCATCTCCGCCTGTTAAAATGGATACATCTACGGTTCGGAACCACGTGCTAGAACTGACTGACGAAATGCATCGTTTTGCGGATAAATTTTTGGGAGGCAACTGGAGTGCTTTAATAAATGCGGACCCACTTGCGTTAGAGGACTACTTGTGTGTTTCACAAACTTTTGAAAAGCTGAAAACAAGGATTATTACGATCGACATGGATTTGAAGTCGTGGTGTGCTAGCGGTATATATCTGAACAGACGACGCAGGCTATTCGTACTATCTATGCCAGGGAGCGTGGATTTGCAGAAAGACTATTAGAGATATATAAAAGTAAAGTATAGTTTTTCAGTGCGCACAATCCTAATTGTATTAATTTAAGTGTTATTGATATTACTAAAAAAGTTATGGCCAGCAAACTTGAAAATGTTAAAGCTAATGTCTGTAAGGATACTGATGGAAATAATGATAATAACACTGATGTAAATGGTATTAATACTGTATCAAATGTTAATGATGATTCTGGTAATGTTAACGCTAAGCCCAAGAGGCCATCAAAAAAGAATAAGAAGTCAGCTACTGATATCACGGACACTGACAGCTTTACTAAGCTTAAAAACTCGGCCAGGATGTCTAAGTTAATTAAGTGTAATGTAGATATCCCAGTAAGTGGTAAATTTTATGGCTTATAAATGTAAAGGGTAATGGTAATGACAACGTGGAACAGGGTGAGCCTGAGATTATTGAAATTGTACCCCCGAAAATTAAACCTATCATGCTAAAACCTGTAGAAAAATTTTCTGACTTCGTTAAAAAACTAAAGAATGATACAAAGCTTGAATTTGCAGTTAAAATTAATGGCGAGTTTCTGAAAGTGTTCCCTAAGACAGAAAATGACCACAGATTAATTACTAAATACTTAAACAGTGGCGTAACTAGGGTGGGGCAAAGGGGGACATCTGTTCCCGGGCGCAGCATCCAGGCGGCGCCAAATTGATGCTACGAAATTTTTTAATGAAATGTTTTCCATTCTTGGCACACAGAAATGGGCGCAAGTTATTTAGTTGTTCCCTGGGGCTGGAATCCTAGCTACGCCACTGTACTTAGATCACGAACAGATAGATCATTATTTAATAATTAGCAAGGTAGAAAAACCTATTAAAGTTGTCTTCAGAGGACTACCCATAGATTGTTCTAAATATGAGATTCATGAAGAGCTTACGAGACGACTCTTGGCTATGAAGTGCATAAAGTCTGACAAATGCACAGATTCAAAACTAAGGTTCCTATGCTTCTTTTTTAAGTCTACTTGGAGAAATTACCAAGTGTAAAAGATATTCACAATGTAACTTACTTCATGTGTTTCTATGTTATTGTTATCCCATACAATGCTATCGGAAGTGTTGTGCAGTGTCACAACTGCCAACACTTCCACCACTCGTCAGAAAGTTGTAAATTAAAGCCCCGCTGCTTCAGGTGCGCCGGGGCACATAAAATTGAAAACTGTAACGCTAAACGAATTGACAATGTTATGTGCTGCAACTACAAACAGCCAGGGCTCCCGGCCAATTACCATGGTTGCTCGAAGTTCCCTACTGCTAGAAATGTTAAAAATATGCAAGGCAATGCACAAAGTAAAGATAATGTATCTAATAATGATTATAATGTCAATTGGAATAATGCAATACCAGGCATTAGCTACGCTAATGCAATTAATGGAAAGACTGTACCTGTAAATGACAGAATGCCTGACAAAATGCTAAAAAAAACTACCGATAATAATGGTATTAAGAAAAAACCTACAGAAGTAAGTACCCATGCATTTCATGTTATATTTAAATTTATTAAGGCACTTGTTGATATTTTTAAAGGTTTTTCAATTGTTAATATTATTAGAAAGATTTCGAACAAAATGCCTGAGCTTCAAGCTGCAGAGCACGTTATTGACAAGATGTTTATTTTATTTATTATTGTTTTTGGTTTAATGATTATTAAATATGATGTATAATGTAAATGATCCCTATTACAGTAAATGGCCTACGGCCATACTTAGTATCCATATTGATTAATTTGTAAATAATATGTTCTGTGCTTCTTATATTGTGTTGATAATTAAGGTTCTGCTTGCTCATTCTACCAAAATTAAGATGTTAAATTTTTTTCACTAGTGCACCAAGAAATTCACACTTTTACCTAATATGTATATGAATTACCTAATATTTATATGAATTTTATGTTTGTTCTTCCTGTATCAGGTTAACGCCAACTCGATCCCCCTTTTTTCAGGTTTCCCCAGATGGCATTCTTAGGTCTTGAAACTTGGAGCACACTTTAACTTTTAAAAATTCCCATTTAACTTATTTCCTCTTCTGTCCATTTTTATAACTTTAAAAATTATATATAATATATATAATATATATATATATATATATATATTTAAAAAATTAGTTATTATCTCATGCTAGTTACTTTTTGACAGCATTCGAAATTACCTATCTGTTCGACAAGGGGTAGAGTCTTGGTGCTACACCGTTTCTCCAGTGCGTCAATTTTAGCTGTCTTCAATTTTATCTCACTTTCTTCCATGCAAAAGTTAGTGCTCAGTATTGTCGGAATTTAGATAAGTGGTTCGAATCCATGTTGATGGCTTTTTAAATTTTTCATCTCTAGCCGCCCAGACGGTATAGCGATTAGGGAAGTACCGAAGGGCCCGGGTTCGAATCTCGCAGAACGTATGGTTGTAACTGTCCGTCCCTTCATAGACCTGTTAGGTGCCTCCACTATAAAATGGCCACTACTTCTGGGACTGGCTTGGATTTTGAGAGGTTCTTTATTAGTGGCCAACACTGAATAGGCAAATGCCCACCATTGGATTAAAAAACAAGTACTTCTCATCTCCCGCTCACAAAAGGTCATTTTTGCATCATCTAGCTTCTGTTTTGCACCTTTGTTTCTACAATTAATTTTTAAGGATTCGAAATCTGTGAAGCTCGACTCAAAACACGAGCTTCATTCATTCAGCATACTGCTTCAGGTCTTTGAACTTTTCTCCCACATCTTATGGATCATCTACGTAATTATATTTGGAAGTAACTTATTTTATTTTCACAACTTTAAATTTTTAACTAGTTTTCAACACTGTGTACTTTGTTCCGCACCGTGAAGTGGCTGGTGTAAATTCCAGTACTGCCAACTGTTACTGAAACAGAGTATCCAAAAAATGAAATAAATTTAAAAAGAGGAACTTTTATGATAACACTAAATATGGGATGCGATATCAAAAAATACATTAGGAAATGAATGTTAAGTAAGGGTAAGGTAACTGACTATTACACTTTACAGAAAACTACAGCATTACTTTAAAGCAATTCAAAAACATAAATACGAGTACAAAAACAATAAAAGTCTGTCTCCGATATGTTTTCTAAGTCCCACATAGTAAAATAAAATTAGTTAAATATATTCTCGCATATATGGGCCTATCCTAATAAAAAACTGGAAATTCTTAGTCGAAACGGCATTAAATAGTTTTCTCTTAGCTTATGAATACTTTTTTTTTTTTTTTTTTTTTTTTTGTATAAAAAGAAATTTCTGTTAGATTTCCCGTCAAAACACACATACAATCCTCAGCAGTTGACATGCATGGCTGATGTCTGTACTCGTCGCCAATTGATGACAATTACCATGCTAAAAAAATGTCTACTACACAGCTATAAGCTTTGCTAAAACGACAAGCCGCAGCATTTTACTAACATGTTTATCACATGCTCTTCGTCATTGTAGGTAACCTTGCAGTTAGATAAAAATGGATACGGCTACTTACATTCTTGAACCATTCGTGCTAGAATCGATAGATTCTTATTTTTCTAGCGCCATGTCCATGAGGTTAAAAACCATCGGCTAGTACCTTTGTTATAATTTGTTTTGCTTTCATAACATTTTTAATCTAAATAAGCAATTAACATTAATAGCGATAAACAAATGACTAAAACAACTGTATAAATGTTGTTTAAATACAAGGATACAAATACGGAAAAGAAGGAATTGTTTAAGGAGACCTTTATTTCTAATTAGCAGATTTCAATTTGAATGCTGTGGCTTTTGAGCTTGCGAATTTACGTAAGTTGCGCATTACGTAATTAGAAGGATTACTGATAGTGCGGTTCATAACGTCCTTGAATACGACTGTTATAAAATCAACCCTTCGAAGTCAGAAATTAAAATATAAACATTTATTCACAGCTACATAAATCTAACATCAGAAACATCTACATCAGCTTACATAAAATCTAACTTTAGAAAAGCAAGTTCTAATAAAAATGGCTAGCGGCGTCTCAAACTAGATAAAACTTGTTGTTTGACTTCTGAATTAGATAAAACTAATTGCAAAAACTGAATTACAATGTTCTAATAAAAACACAAATTATTTTCATTGCCAGATTCTTAGAGTTGAATATCTATTGCTAGAGAAGGCTTAGAAATAATTTCTAACAACGACCGTAACATTTTTCACTTTATATCTTACCAAAAATAGTTTATTCTAAATATATCGTATTTATAGTTGATGGCAAAAAAGGTAAAATACAGAGAAGAATTACAGATTCCACCTCTCCGTGCATTTGAAGATACTTATCGTTAAAGTAATTATTTATTTCATAAATTAATTAAAAAATAACTTCAACAAAATTTGTTTTTCAGGATGAGATATTCGAATCCTCAAAAGCTCAAACTTTTGAGAAATTCAAATTTCCCAATGGGGAGGGAGGGTCATACAGCTTTTTTTGCTATTCTAATCTGTTCAGTTCTAACCTAAAAAAAAGGCTAGACATTTTTACTCAAAAATTGGTAATCTGAATTTTTATAAAATCTCATATTATAAATTTGTAAAATAGAAGCTTTTAATTACAGAAGAAATTCCCCATTATCGCAGTTTTAGTGAGCTTGAATCACTATAGCAGCTCTCAGTGTCGTACTCTTAGAGAATTTAGTATTTATTAGTGTTAATTCTTGGAATAATCCTTTCCTTCTAGACTTGCTTTGATTTAGAAAGATTCCAGAAGAACATAAAAAATATGAGCTGTTGTTGAAATATATTTATCAAATTATGTTAAGAAAATGAACTTCAAGATTCAAGAATTTTGATTAGGTACTTAATTAACTAAATTTCGTTTGTATCTTAACAATAAATAAATGGGTATTTTTTAAACTGCATCCTAAATTTGTATTTTTGCATTAGACGTAGATTTCAAATTTTGTTAAAATGAAATATTCGAAATAGAATATTGTTTTGATATAAAGTTTTTCTTTTCGCTTCTCTTTCTTGTAAGTCTATTAAACCTTTCTTCTCTTATTATTATAAACATTCGAGAACCTTTTAGAATTTGGATAAAAGAAAATTTTAAATCCAGCCTACTATTAATTTAAGAACGGATTTTCAGAGTCCAATCCATGTTTTTGAAAGGAGTAAATGTATTTAGAATTTTCAGAGAATATATTCCTCGATGTCTTTCCCCCCAAAAAATATTAAATATAATTTCCCCCCTTATGTTTATACAGTTTCCACATATGAAGTAATTTTTATTTTCCGTATCATTATAGGGTATTCCCCCGCCTTCTTAGCATGCCTTCGTGATGTAATGATCAGCACGCTCGGCGCGTATTCGAGAGGTCCGTGGTTCGAGTCTCGGCGAGGGCATTGCTCATTTCCTCAGTTTCTTGAGATCGAAAAACTTCTAAATGACTCTACAGTGGTGCCCGAGCTAAAAATAGGTGGTGGATGATGATTCTCCACCACCAGAATTTGGCGATTGGGTCCCCTAATCCCCAGCCGCCTTTTAAAAGGTGGAGTATATAAGGCATGTCTCCCGTCTTCTTAGCATGTCTTCGTGGTGTAATGGTCAGCACACTCGGCGCGTATTCGAGAGGTCCGTGGTTCGAGTCCCGGCGAGGGTATTGCTCATTTTTCATGACTCCTGCTTCGAAATAATCCTAATGACTCTACATCATCAAATATGAAAAAGCAACAGCATTAATTAATACATATGAAAAAAAATAAAGTAGATAGTACTTAAAGTTTGTTTTGGGGCAGAAAAAGATCAGGTTATTTGAACATTGCAAAGCATATTAGAGCTACTTGTCTAAGGGAAATGATGCCTTCGTGAAGAACTTTCTACAGAAAACTGACTCGATTCATGTTACACATGGGAAAAACCTACTCTGCAGCCAATTCATTCGCCTGTGATCGAACTTATTTCGAACTCCTATTATTCAGCTTAACCTCTCGGCCAATGGTGCGTTGAAGAGCACCAAGAGACGGGTACAGTAACTTCGTAAGAAAAAGATTCACATTGGCTGATAATAACTGTAGCAAACATGTTACTAACCATTTAGCAATGTAATTACGAAAATGACATATCTAAAGCATTGTTCAGTCGGGGCATAATGTAATATTGGAGTGTTCTTCAAGCTTCACTGATGAAGTGAGTTCCCCAGTGACCTTGATAGCGTGTTGTTTCAGATCGCATGCCGTGCGTAGTGAAAGGAAGTGAATGATCCATGACGTTATTGTCTCTCATGGGAACTTCTTAAAATTCTGAAAATTTGTTCCTTTTGCTTTTACTTTACAGATGAGTTTAATCTTTGGCAAACAACAACGAAGATGAAGAATAAATTTAAAAATATAGGTAGACTTCTACTTATGACGACTCCGATTTACGACGATTCGCTTTTCGACGGGGAAAATCAGAAATTCTAAATCCTCTAATTTAAGTTGACCGCTAGAATGTATTTAGTACTTGTATTATTTTT